TGGCTTGAAGGGCGGTCGTGTGATTCAAAAAAAAAAATATTAAAAGATTGGCATCAAAGGACACATAGATTGATAGATATACAGTTATTAATAACATCTAAAAAAAAACAACTTTGAAAAACACTGTCCTAAAGAACAGAAGGTCTGAAACTAAAAGGCCCTCAGAATTCACACTGAAGGACACATCGGCATAATTGATTTTAATCCATCAGCTCTCCCGATGGATTATGATCTCTACACTGCCCTGATTTTAAACCTTTATTTAACGAGATTGGTCCCATTGAGATCATAGATCTCTTTTTCAAGGGAGACCTGCAGCATATAGGTTCCACATGAAACATAAAACAATAAAATGATGCTCAAAGTTAGCTTAGTTAACAATCGACCACAGTTTGTGTATTTACACATGTCACAACCAGGATATGCATTTCAAATTGTAGTTATGAATTACTTAATTCTGGATCTAATTTGTCAGAAGACAGATGATTCAGTCAAATTATATTATGAAATATATATTTATTGGTAGATTATGCTGTAGTTCTGTCCTGCATTGTATTCCTGTTAACACTGATTTTGTGATATGATATAACCTGCAGGTTCTGTGCAAACAGCAGTTCCATTTGTTGGTTAAGGCATGCAAGAGGAGAAAGGCTAAAATGATTGATAAAAGGTGCTGGAAGAGTTTAAATGCAGTTTTGACGTTGTACATCATTTACATCGACCAATAGTCTTCATCACTGCCTTTTATTTATGCTTTTTTGCACATTGCTACCAAAGAATGTTGATCTGCAATATAACTTTTAATATAAAACCTTGCTCCACTGCTTTACTACTGCTCCAAAATACCTTTGAGGTTCAACTAATACAAATAAAAGACAAAACGGAAACAATATAAACTATTTGCCAAGGTATGTAAAGCTTTCTAACACATCCTTTACCTTGAATGCAGAGCAGCAGATGCTTTGGTAAAAAACACTAATTAGCTCTGGATTAGAGCCAAACTCTGTTTGCCATCTGCAGTCCTGTCACGTTGAACATGGTGCTGAATGTTTCCTGACCCTTTCCTGCATAGACTGAAACATGCCCCCCCACGCTCTCCAGATTTATGACCGCCTCAATACTTCAGGACCACGTGGTTTCGCTCTGCAGCCGTGATAAATGGCTGCCTTTGGATGTCCTGGAGTTTGGTAAAAGGCAAGCAGAAATCATGGGTGGGAAAGGACACTTGGGAGAAGTTTTTTCATCTGTTTAGTGCAAGAACTGTTTAGCAAGCTGAAGGCAAAAGAGGTAGAGGAAGTGATGAAGGAGGTGAAAGCATTGATGATGGAGGTGAGAAGTAGAAGAGCTCTTGCTGTAGGGGTGAATATATATAAAAAGGGGAGGTGGATGGAGAGTAAAGAGAAGTAGGAAATGAGGGAAAGGAAGGTAAAAGGAGATGTAATATACTATGAGGTCGTTTGAAATCAAAGGATGGTAGGCAACGGTCAGTGACTCAAATTTGGGCTTGTAGGATGGAGGAATATAAATGCTAATTCGGGAAACAGGAGTCTATACCTCCGCTGAATGAAAGAGATACAGAGAGACACACAAAGACACACTATGCATTTACCCAGCATGCCCAACCCTGTGCACCTCCTGAGCAACCCTATCTATACTTTTTTTTGGGGAAGATATTCACTTTACCTTTGCATACTTAAAATAGAGTCTGTAAAAAAGAACCATGCAGATTTTGTATTTTCCACCCTTCTATTAAAAAAAAATATCCTCAGTCAGATTGAACCTTTCTGGAAGCTTCATTTCCGCTGTGGTTGTGGCACAAGATTAAGTTATTGTGGTCGTGATGATTCGGCAGCATGGTGTTGGTGTAAACAATTTACGGTTCTCCTCTTCCCCCATTTGGAGCGCTCCATGGCTGTCTGGGTAATTCTATCTTCTGGGAACAAACAACACGGGGTACCTGCCATGGACGACTCCGTGGCTATGAGCAGATAGAGCACCACTGCAGGAAGTATACATGTTGGGGGCAAAACAAAGTATCTGTTTCAGTGGGAAGGAAGAGTTTAAAGGGCTAAAAGGATTAGACTGGCAGGGAATGAAGGAACATGGTATACAGGTGGAACAGAGTACATTACAAGAATGTATAATAATGTTGGCGCAGAGTTACTGAACATTTATATTGTTTGTATGTATTAGCTAAGATTATTAAGTTGCCTTTAGGGTGAGATGTATCATTTAAACAACACATACAATAGTTTATCTGCAATGCATGACTACAACATGGCTTTTATACAAAAGCACCTTTAAAAACAGTTACTGGCAGATGTTGAACTGGCCAAATGTCAACACACATTAAGTTGATTAAGTTGCTTCTGGTTTGGCCATTTTTGCACAGTTGTTCAAGTGTAAGCTTTTGTTTACACTGTTAAAGTGATACACAGTGGCATTACTAAAAACGTAGCTTGACATTGCATGTGATTGTTATTACGGGCCACAGGCTGTTTGGACTGAAAGAAACCTTTCACCAAACAGAAAGAAAAGCCAGAGCAGAAAAGCTGCAGGAACACAGACTTAATCAAGAAAACAGTTTTGAACTTGCTGGAGGTTTGAGGATAGGCCAGCCCACCTTACAGACAATCACAAAACTCCTTATTGAAATATGGATTGCTTTAAACATGATAAATATACTTTAGCAACCGCAGGAAACATGAATCAGGTTACACAAGCTTTGGTTGAACCCACTACCCTCGTATACAAACACACACATCTTCACTGGCAAATGTTTGAACATCCAAATAGTGAAAAACAGTGAAAACAGTCTTCCAAGTGCCATAAAGATACAATGAGAACACATTAAACTGCATCGCATTATTATAATTTAAAAATAAATTATCATTCCATTAAGCCCATGTTTATAAGATCCTTTTCATGCAGATGCAGTTTAAAGGGCTTACAGGTGAAAATTTATTTTATTATTTCAAAGACAGGGAACATATCAACAAGCACAGGTGATGCTTATACAGTAAGTGATAGCATTCTGGTTCACTGACATGTCTGACACATTTTAACTGAAATTAATAATCTTTAATTATAAAGTTAAACCTGGCTTTTCTCACCCAAGTACTTTATAACATGTGCTGTGAAAAGGAATCTTGACACGTGAACGGAAGTTGATTCAGATTCCGGTTAGAAAATTCAGATGTAAGTCGAAACGAACACGGATAAAGGTATACATTCAATATCATATTCTTTTTAAATAAATAATAAGTACGCAAAAGTAAGAGATTTTCTATTTTATACACACGCACACACACACACACACACACACACACACACACACACACACACACACACACACACACACACACACACACACACTTACATTTTGGTAGCTTAAGGTGCCATACCTGATCTCTGCACA